GTGTACCAGTGACTGAGCCTCCGTACAGTGAGTGATGGTAAACCTGCCTTGGTATACAGTGTACAGTGATGAGTAAGTGCTTTACAATTTGTGACAAATCTCAGAGCACTATGATACGCAGCATCTAGTTTGCTCAGGTAGTTGGCAGGTGCATTCATATACATCAGATCACCATAGTCGAGCACAGGTAAAAAAGTCACAGTGACTAGCCTTTTCCTGGCCTCAAGCATGTTAACATATAAGTGATTAATATACATGGCACAGGTGCAATCTGACACTGATCATGCAGTTTAACTCTAACTGTTCCTCCACACTCAAATTGTATGAATATCATAATGATACACTGATTAAAAAGCAATATGGGCTTTACATTCATTAGATAAGTGACTTTATTATTGGTTTGACGGTTTGAAAACAGATGCCTGCATTTCATCTGTTGGAGGCTTACCAATGAGTGTCATAGCGCACTGGTCACAAGGTCAATGCTGTCTTCAGAGTGAAATTCAACGTATTGTCTTTCACATCACAAGTAGTACAGCTGTCTGCAGAGTGATACACAGCAGCACCTGTTTTAGATAAAGATGGAACTCCCTGTGAGCCACTGACAGCTACATTTGATCTGTGTGCAGCTAAAGGTGGTCTTTGTATCGCCGAAATGACGTCTTAGATTAGTTTGGGCTGTGAGGATGTTAGGTGATGACTGTTTATTGTGTTTCTGGGGTTAGATTGTACTTCCTTTTTAACACATTCATCAATTCAATCATTTTTTTATTACAAATTCAAGTTTATAGGAGCGAAGAGGATGAAAAAAACTCAAGTAAAAATAGAAAAGAAAAAAAAGTTACGCCTTGCTATTTGGTAAATGGACTTTACTTATATAGCGCTTTATCCAGTCTTTAAGACCCCTCAAAGCACTTTACATACTATATGCCATTCACCCATTCACACCCAGTGTATCTTACTCTAGGACCCAACATTCACACACATTCACACACCGTTGGCCATGCCATCGGGAGCAACTCAGGGTTAAGTATCTTGCCCAAGGATACATCGACATGTTGACTGCATGGGCTGGGATCGAACCCACAACCTTCTGGTTGAAAGACGACCGCACTCCCTCGCAGCCACAGTCGCCCTATTTGAAATTTTGCAGTCATTTGCAGATTGTTCCTTTATGCATGCATTATTAAAAGCTTCCCTCACAGGGTCTGATATTTGTAGAAACAGAGAAGGAGGCAATTATTTTTTAATTACAGTTTTTAAGGTGAAAGGGCCCTCCTTAACCCTCACTAACCAAATATTAGAAACTATATAGGTGATCATACAGAACTCGACTTATCAAGGCACAATTATACAGATATTTCTGGTCTTATAATATCAGTAATTTCAGAAACGATCAAACACACCTGCTGTCATTTGGCCGTTGTAAGTTCATTTGGTCAGTGTTGATGGTACTTTGTGTTTGTTTGCTGTCAAACACACATTGTGAAACTGTGTAGGCAACTCCCACATATGGAGTGTGTGTGTGTTAGGGGTTTCACCAACTAATCGACTAGTCGACTAGTCGACTACCTTTACCACTAGTCGGCGCTGTAGGCCC